AAGTGGCAGAATCACCTCTCTGGACCTGCTGGCAACGCAGCTTTTGATGCAGCCCAGGATGGGATTGGCCTTCTGGGCTGCAGCTGCCCACTGCCTGCTCATGTCCAGCTTCTCCTCCACCAGCACCCCCAAGTCCCTTTCCTCAGGGCTGCTTTCTAACACCTCACCCCCCAGTCTGTACTGATGGTGAGGATTGTTCCAGCCCAGGTGCAGAACTTGTTCTTGTTGAACCTCATGAGGTTCACCTGGGCCCACCTCTCCAGCCTGTCCAGGTCCTTTTGGATAACATCCCATCCCTCTGGTGTATCGACAACACCACACAGCTTGGTATCGTCCGCAAACCAGGGGACATCGCAAATCGTTGCCGTGTAACTCACGGTATTTGTGGTATCGTGAGGCAATTTCCAGCCAAGAACGTTAACCAGAAGGTAAATGCAAAGATCAGAAGTCAAGTGGCTATCAAGAGATGAAGGTGTGTATGGAAACACAGGATGAGAGTTCTGTGCTTGAAAATGCCAAAGAACGAGGCCGTATCTTGATTCTAAAACCACGCTGCCATTATTTTTGGCAAAAGCAGTTTAAGACTATCATCTCATCAATTTGTCTTCTTTCTCCTCCTCTTTTAGCCAGCGAAAACATGCCTGTGGCAGAGTGTTTCAAGCTGAAGTGCAGATGTGATGAGCTCAGTTTGTTAAGATTATCAGACCGCAATAAAACAAATCCATGAGAGTAGTATTTATATCTGAGGCCTGCATATAAGGACAGTGACAATCTCACAGGCATTTTCTCTCTACCTTGTAGCATTAATAAGGTCTCCCCTCAGCCTTCTCTTCTCCAGACTGAAGAGTCCCAGCTCTCTCAGTCTCTCCTCATAAGGGAGATGCTCCAATCCCTCCATCATCTCTGTTGCCCTTCGCTGGACTCTTTCTAGTAGTTCCCTGTCCCTCTTGAACTGGGGAGCCCAGAACTGGACGCAGTACTCCAGTTGTGGCCTCCCCAGTGCAGAGCAGAGGGGGAGAAGATCCCCCTACACCTGGGCCGCGTTCCGAGGTGCCACTCCAATTGTACTTACAGGGTACGTATACGGCTTGAAAGCTCCCCACGTAGTTTGGTCCCAGCTCGTAAATGGTGCTGACACCCGGGGCGGGCAGAACTTCCTCCAGGAAATGCGTGGGGCCCAACCTCCACACCAGAGAAGAGAGCTGGCGCTGTGCCGGGGGGGTGCCGATGTAGGCGTAGACAGTGCTGACTACAGGGGGATTGGCAGAACCTGACCCACTGGGACTGCTGTGGATATAGTGGAGCTGTAAGGGAGAAAAAAAAACAGAGTTGGAGTTAACGACGGGGAAGGGGGACCGTGAAAAGAAAGCTGGCAGATCCAAAAAATTGGGGAAAGCGTTTTGCAAACCATAGAATCATAGAATAGAATTGCCCAGGCCGGAAGGGACCTCCAAAGGCCATCTAGTCCGACCCCCCCGCAGTCAGCAGGGACACCCCCAACCAGACCAGGTTGCCCAGGGCCTCCTCGAGCCTCTCCTTGAATATCTCCAGGGATGGGGCCTCAACCACCTCCCTGGGCAACCTGTTCCAGTGCTCCACCACCCTCACAGTGAAGAACCCTCTCCTCATCTCCAGTCTAAATCTGTTCCCCTCCAGCTTGAAGCCATTGCCCCTCGTCCTGTCACTGCAGGCCTTTCTAAACAGGCTCTCCCCAGCCTTCCTGTAGGCTCCCTTCAGGTACTGGAAGGCTGCTATTAGGTCTCCCCGGAGCCTCCTCTTCTCCAGGCTGAACAACCCCAGCTCCCTCAGCCTGTCCTCGTAGCAGAGGTGCTCCATCCCCCTGATCATCCTTGTGGCCCTCCTCTGGACCTGCTCCATCAGGTCTATATCCTTCTTATATTGAGGGCTCCAGACCTGCACACAATACTCCAGGTGAGGTCTCACCAGTGCAGAGTAAAGTGGCAGAATCACCTCTCTGGACCTGCTGGCAACGCTTCTTTTGATGCAGCCCAGGATGGGATTGGCCTTCTGGGCTGCAGCTGCCCACTGCCTGCTCATGTCCAGCTTCTCCTCCACCAGCACCCCCAAGTCCCTTTCCTCAGGGCTGCTTTCTAACACCTCACCCCCCAGTCTGTACTGATGGTGAGGATTGTTCCAGCCCAGGTGCAGAACTTGTTCTTGTTGAACCTCATGAGGTTCACCTGGGCCCACCTCTCCAGCCTGTCCAGGTCCTTTTGGATAACATCCCATCCCTCTGGTGTATCGACAACACCACACAGCTTGGTATCGTCCGCAAACCAGGGGACATCGCAAATCGTTGCCGTGTAACTCACGGTATTTGTGGTATCGCGAGGCAATTTCCAGCCAAGAACATTAACCAGAAGGTAAATGCAAAGATCAGAAGTCAAGTGGCTATCAAGAGATGAAGGTGTGTATGGAAACACAGGATGAGAGGTCTATGCTTGAAAATGCCAAAGAACGAGGCCGGATCTTGATTCTAAAACCACGCTGCCATTATTTTTTGCAAAAGCAGTTTAAGACTATCTCATCAACTTGTCTTCTTTCTCCTCCTCTTTTAGCCAGCGAAAACACTGCCTTTGGCAGAGTGTTTCAAGCTGAAGTGCAGATGTGATGAGCTCAGTTTGTTAAGATTATCAGACCGCAATAAAACAAATACATGAGAGTAGTATTTGTATCTGAGGCCTGCATATAAGGACAGTGACAATCTCACAGGCATTTTCTCTCTACCTTGTAAAAATTCTGTTACAGCTACTGAATGTAGTCACCTATGGCCAGATATATGGTCACCTACTGCAGCTATTAGCTGTAAGCTGTAAAGTTACCATAGTCCTCTTCCTGCAAAAGGAATACTGAAAGGGAAACTTTCCAAGTCAAATTATTGTTTTACCTATAGCAGTACAGTAACTCTAGCTAATTGACACTCCACCCCAGGTTTAGCTGACTCCCCTAAGGCCCACACCTGCCCAGTGCTCTCTGGTTATCAGTTACAGGTCAGGAGGAATGCTTTGTGCTCAGTGGACAGGCCCACAGTGCTCTTCACTGCTCTCTGCTTCTGGCTTCTCAGTTTCTTCCACCTTTCAACTACATGTGTTCCATCTACACCACCACCACTGGACATCTCAGTGGCTGTCACTGGCAATTCACCCTATTTGCCCCCTATTTCTGGGGTACTAAGAGGGTTGGGAAAGGAACAACCTGAATAAAATGCCAAACGGAGGAACGCTTTGTGCTCAGTGGACAGGCCCACGGTGCTCTTCACTGCTCTCTGCTTTTGGCTTCTCAGTTTCTTCCACCTTTCAACTACATGTGTTCCATCTACACCACCACCACTGGACATCTCAGTTGGTTGTCACTGGCAACTCACTCTATTTACCCCTTATTTCTGGGGTAGTCAGAAGGTCGGGAAAGGAACAACCTGAATAAAATGTCTTACTCTGTCTTACTCTAATCTCCCTATTATTCAAAGTTAAATCTGCTACATAGTCCTGGGATGAGTCTTCTTTCAGCTTTTTGTGATCCTTCTAATTACTCTAGTCAGCAGGGCAGCCACACCACGCTTGCCTCACGTGAAATGCAACATGTCCACTTCATTTTAGCACGGCCAAGAAAGAATTGGCTATCTTTTCCTCTAAACAGGACTAGGGCTGGCTCCAAGCTGTGCAGTGAGCAAAGACCCCTTTTTGCAAGGCTCTGCACGTTGTGTTTTTTTGGTGGTGGGCTGGGGTTTTTTTGTTTTGTTGTGTTTTGGTTTGGTTTTGTGGCAGGGGGGCAGTGTTGATTTGGTTTTTTCTTGTTTTCTGTGGGTTTTTTTGTTGGTGGTGGGCTGGGGTTTTTTTTGTTTTGTTGTGTTTTGGTTTGGTTTTGTGGCGGGGGGGCAGTGTTGATTTGTTGTTTTCTTGTTTTCTGTGGGGTTTTTTTTACAGAAATATATCCGCAGAGAGAGAGAGAAATCACTTCAACCAGTGAAAATGAGGATTTAAAGATTTATTTTACCTTCACGGTGTTAACAAGCTGTCCATCAAGGTAGAGTGCAGCTGTGCTGTTCTTCAGCATGCCTTTACTCATGACGAGGACCAGGTGATGCCACTGGCCTTCCACAATGAGGTCACCACAGCGGAAACGGGCACAACAGGGAAGAATTTCATAAAACGACGATTCCTCACTGAAGTCATCAACTAAAGAAAAAGTATCCGTTAGTGGGCACCGGGAGAAATGCTTTAAAGAAGCTAAAACCAGATGAATGTGTCATTAGACTTTACGTAAAACGATCTACAGCAATACATTAAAGCCAAATTTTTAGGAAGCATGTAGTTAACAAAAGTACAACTACCAAGATATGAATAAAGTCATACAATTAACAAGAATGACTTTAGACTTTCAAATACAAGACCTGAAAGAATGAAATCAGATTTTTTTGAGAAAGTATTCAAGATCAGATTGTCACAGTTAGACAGGCTGAACATCCTTAAATACTCGTACATTAACAAACTAGTATGGTTTTGGTAGCATCAATGTGTCTCTTCTTCTTTTGCCTTAATTCTCTTTAAGAAAATTCTCAGGGTGCTTTAGACTTCTGACAATTATGTTTTCCTTCTCCCCTTCTACTCTCCCTTTGAAATGCATCTGGAATGACTAGTTTGCTCAAGTTTTTGCTAACTTTCTCATGCCCTCATGCAAGTCACAGAAAGATCTTTTGTTGTTTTTCTAAAAAAGCTTTCAAAGCAGTAGTCAGCAAGATGCCTCTCCAAACTTACAGAGCTATTTTTCCACTTTTCTCACACTGTGGAGAGAAAAATACCCATACTTCCCAGACTTTATCCTCATGCTTTCCCCTGCTCCACCATGATCTCCTCCACAGGCCCCACCACCTACTCTCCTGTGGTCCTCTCTCCATGGGCTGCAGATGATCCCTGCTCTGGTGCCTGGAGCATCCTCTCCCCTCCATCTACACATCTTGTGTGGGAAGTGGGTGAGGCACCATCCCTGGAGGTGTTCAAAAGATGGGCTGATATGGTGCTGGGGGACATGGTTTAGTGATGCTTTTTTTTGTCAGAGTTGGGTTGATTGTTGGACTAGATGATCTTGAAGGTCCCTTCCAACCTAGATGATTCTATGATTCTATCTAGCACAGGCCTTAGCATGGTGGCCTCTCCTCTTCTTCTTTTCTAAGGAAAATTAATTTTCTGAAGCGCTGCTACTGAAGGGGCAGCTCAGGGCTGAGACATTTCTGCCCAAGTCAAAACGAAGACTTCATGACATCTTATCTGTTCCATTTCAGCTCTGTAACCACAGCAAGTCACCCTTGCCTTCCCTCCACCCTATCAGAAGTGGAGCCCAGGTTGTTAGGCTGCTGACCTGAGCAGCAGCAGGTCGGGGTGAGGCGAGCTGCACCCATGGCTCCATCAGCCATCAACAGTGAGGAGCTGAAGATGGATGTCTACCTTCCAGACACACGGCCAGAGGAACCCACTCCCAGCCTCTCTGCAGCAGATACCAAGCACAAGCTGCTGACCACCCATCCCCAATTCACCCACCCATACTCTTCAGTCATTTCCCAGGTCTCTCTTCACTAACAGGTGCTGTATTCTCTTCTCCTGAATGTTAAAATAGACTTTAGTTCTCAGCACATGATTTTTAAATTTCTCTAAAAGGCATCCTTTGATTTCACACCAGAGGGCATGATCAGTTTGCAGGTGCATGAGCTTCTCCATCGCAAAGCAGAATGACCCACACTCTACCTGAAAGTCCCCGTTCCCCCTCCTCACTCCACCAAAAAAACCCAACAAAACCCAATCAAAGACAAAGCTCAAAAATTCTGCACCAGGGAACACTTCAACAGAAAACAGGAGCTTTTCAGATCTCTCTTCGTTCTCTCCTATTGAAGGAAAAGAACCCACTAATCCTCTTACCTCAAGAGCTGCCTGCACAGGGAGCACGCTCCCTTCTTCAGAAGTAGCACAAGGGAAATGATAAAAGCAGCGTGCTTGGAACTCACTTTCAGATACAAAAATAACGTTCTCAAGTTCTTTTCCTCAGCCAAACACCTCTGAGCACAATTCTCGCTCACAAGAAGGATCCTTAAACCACCCCATTTATTCTTTCAATAGACAGTCAGCACTTCAGCCCCTGTGCTGCTGGGCCTGCCATCTCAGTTCTTCAGGTACGTACCTGCTCAGCACTTGAGGGTACACCACCAACTGGGACTTAGCCATGACAGGATGGCACCCCAGTAAAGCTAAGTATCCTTTTCAATTAAAAACAGTCTTTGCAGTCAGAGCCCTTCAGATATTCTCTGATAAAGCCTCTTCAAATCAAATCTCTTTTAAAGACTTAGATCATTTACAGCAGAGGGCTACAAAGATGATGAGGGGCCTGGAGCATCTCCCTTATGAGGAGAGGCTGAGGGACTTGAGCCTTTTTAGTCTAGAGAAAGCTGAGGGGGGAGAGGGACTTGAGTCTTTTTAGTCTGGAGAAAGCTGAGGGGGGATTTGATCAACATCTATAAATATTTAAAGGGAGGGTGTCAAGAGGATGGGGCTGGTCTTTTTTCAGTGGTGCCCAGGGACAGGACAAGAGGAAATGGGCACAAACTTGAACGTAAGAAGTTCCACCTAATCATGAGGAACTTCCAGAGCCCTGGCAGAGGCTGCCCAGGGAGGTGGTGGAGTCTCCTTCTCTGGAGACATTCCAAACCCACCTGGACATGTTCCTGTGCAACCTGCTCTGGGTGGACCTACTTTGGCAGGGGGTTGGACTGGATGATCTCCAGAGGTCCCTTCCAACCCCATACCATTCTTTGATTCTGTGATGATAGAGGCTTACAGACTGAAAACACAGGATCTACAGCTCCAGTGCAGGCTAAACCAATTAATATGAGGATAAATTAATTTAATTATCTCTTATAATAATTTGTTCTTCTGAGAAAGAAAACTCTGTCAATATCTGTGTAATTTAAGAGCTTTAGTTCCTCCCTTATACTACAGGTTTTCAGCTCAAGTTTTAGGTTTTGAAACTGACTTCCACTTAGAGAAACTATGGCAGTTAACAATGCAAATGTCTACTTATCGTTAAAATAAGGCTATCTCCAGCAAATTCACTGGCCTCACCAGCTTCACTTAGACCTTCATTGCACCTCCTGTAATTCCACCTTTGATCACAGACACCGAATGAAGCCGCAAACTCTTCCTGAAGACTGATCACAGCATTAAAACATGAAATGAATGACCGACTGGCTTCAGAACAGCTCTCACAACCTCTGAGTTTACTATTTCCAAACTTCTTCAAAGCAAAGATAGTTAGCAATTGCACCTCAAGAGATGGCATCTAAAATCATAGAATCATAGAACCATAGAATGGTTTGGGTTGGAAGGGACCTCAAAGATCATCGAGTTCCAACCTCTCTGCCATGGGCAGGGACACCTCCCACCAGACCAGGTTGCTCAAGGCCACAGCAGGTTGCTCAAGGCCACGAATGATATGATGATACAAGAATGATACAAGATAAATACAAAGCAAAAGCTTTCTAAAAGCCAATGATGTAATCCTACCTTCAAATCTAAAATACTTAGTGTTTTGGCAAAAATTCTTCTTCCTATGCAGGTATCAAATCTTCTTTGGAAATTATAAAAATTCTTTATTTTCTACATGAACGTTCACATTTTGCATTTTTCCATTGTCAAAACCCAGTAGGAGCTGGTGAAGCTATAACTGAAGTTCCACCACACATAATTCTTCTAGATACTAAGTTCAAAATAAACTTGTCGTCGCATCCCTGTAATATTGTCAGGATTAGCTGATGACACAACACAACTCTTACCATAATTTTGAAGCAATTCTTCTTTAGTTGAAACGATCAAGGACCGGTCTTTTGCTGAGAGGACAATGGCAAGGCACACATAATGCTGCTCGGAGGAGTTTGCCCGCCGCACTACAGTGAGGAGCCTCACAGGATGGTTATTAGGAGGTGTACTAAAGTGTTCAATACAAAACCAAGTTGAGTAGCTTAAACCAGACGGTGGGGGGAAAAATCTTTCACCTAAAAACAAAGATGAAAGCCCATTATACAGCTGCAGTAGCTAGTGCTTAGCATACCTACTTGTTTCTGTTCCTTTTTTTCATATCAGCTCCGCTGAGACCAGCTGTGCTTTCTCAAATTTTTCCTTCATGGACTTCAAAGTTACTACTTTGATTTCTGACTCATTCTTGAAGGAAAAGCCACATGAAGGCAGCTCAGAGGGGCTTCCTTCAAAACAGTAACAAAAGTAAAGCAAAAATTGCACACTATTCCCTCCTATTCTAAAAGCAAAATGTCAACTCGGAAGCTGTGCTCGTTCTGAACAGCCCCGTTTCAGTTCCCTAGGCATAAAAATGTGGAAATGGATCGAGCCCTCAGAAACTACTAATACAATGATGAGATACTTCTTCGATAGGTGTGACCAGCTGGAGAAGTCTTTGTTGAAGATCTATCCACCCCATGCACTTGACTCCATTGCATCTCCTGGGGGGCTCCCACACGGAACAAAAGGCTCACAGACTTCAAGTACTGTCTAACACTAATTCTGTCTTAACTGGAATAAACTTTCAACTTGGTTAAAAAAGGGGCTCAGTCTAAAAACTAAGCGCTCGCGTTCAATTAGCCCCGCAGCGTGCCAGGTTCCTGGAGGGTGAAGAGCACACAGGAAGTTCTCAATTATGAGTTTAAAAAGTCCAATACCGTGCCATCGTATCACTTCATGGCTAACAAAGAAATAGAAGAGAACTAAACATGGGCTAGAGAACACTAACAGCCATGCTCAAGTACTTACCAGTTCCAATCCCGCTGACAACCGCGCCGTCGATAAGTCCTGTTGTCACAGCATTATTTGTAGGTGCATTATGGGGAGCCAAACTTGGCAAGAACAGGCAGCTGTTAAATAGAAGAGCAGTTACACACCAGAGTTTAGTAAAGTCAATATAACTGCAGTTCAATACAAACAGAATAAAGCCTAGGGAAATATAGCAGAAGCACATCATCGCTCTCCTTGACTCACGAATACGTATTATTCATCTCAAGTAGAAATGAATTCTCCAGATTTCTCCTTGTGAGGCTAAACAATGTCTCCAGTGCAATGATCTTTGGCAGCCTATGTCTTTGGTGCAACAGTGCAGAGACTTATGCCCACGTGGCTCCAAAAGCCTAAGATGCTCCCTCGTGGGCAATTTCTCCTTGTGAGGCTAAACAATGTCTCCAGCGCAACCATCTTTGGCAGCCTATGGCTTTGGTGCAACGGCGCAGAGACTTATGCCCACGTGGCTCCAAAGCCTAAGATGCTCCCTCGTGGGCAACCATAACTTGCTGCAGCCTTTGAGATGTTCTAGGCTCTCACAGAGACTGGATTAGCTAAATATTCAAAGGATCTGCTACTTGCATACTATGGTGTTCTTATTTTAAGTATGTACGCTCTCCCAGTAACATCAGGTTTGACCAAATTAGCTATGTTTGGTCCTTACAAGAGCCACTGGTGCTGTGGACACAGATAGAAGTAGCACCTCCCTTAGGTGATGGAAGATTTTAAGAGCCCAGTTTCAGCAACCAGCCCACCCAAGCTGGAATGAATCTCCACAGGAGCTCACCTTCCCGTTTGTATAGATTGTCCTACACCAAGCTGGAATGAATCTCCACAGGAGCTCAGCTTCCTGTTTGTACAGATTGTCCTATACGGGAAGCAAAATGATGGCTCTTCCACTTGCTGAAGAATCATTATTTTGTTGACATTTACACTTGAGCAGGCTGGTTTAAGTATACTGGAGCTAAGTTGCCTGGCAGAGCTAGGAGTTATTTAGTTCTCATGTAAGCTATAACAAATTAACTTGAGCACCCATCTTGAAAGCAACAGCAGTCCATGGTTCTGGTCACTACTATCTTCCTTTTGATTACAGCTCTCACTCTATACTTCTTCCTCCCTCTTGAAAATGTTCTTCTCTGGGTGAATCCTCCATGGTCAATGGTGTTACAAGCACGTTCTCTCTAAGCAGATAACTTGCAAGGCTACTACAATTATTTAATTCATGGAACACCTAGGCACTTTAAAACAGACCCAAAAGATTTCAGTTTTTTTTATTGCTATAGCAAATGTAGGTGACTTGTTGGAATTAAAAGAAGTCACAGCTGCATTATGTGGATTGCTTTTGGACATGTTACCAGCACCTACAAATTTCCTGGAGCATCCACAGTGGCAATTGATTTTGCTAACATATTTCAAGTTCTTCTTCTGTCCCAAACATTTTCTTTTCTCTTAGGAAGGATGTACAACAGAGCTCTGAGCACCATTCATTTTCAAAGAAAAGTCTGTCCCTGACTGTATTAGATATGAAGGCTCAGATGCAAAATGGGTGCTGCAGCCTTTCTTTGCAGAGCTGAAAAGAGAATGCAGAGCTGCCAAATATCCAACCTGCACTCTGCTCTCAGATCAGTCATCCCAAATAAAGCAGAGCAAGTGCACTAAGATGCAAAATGGCTCTGTGGATGGCCATGTCAGGACAGAAAGAGATGTTAAGAAATACAGTAGTATAAATATTGGGTCTGGGGAAAAAAATAAATGAATGATTCTGTCTGGTGGAGCCCTTTCTCAATTTTATGAAATTGTGGTACAGCTGTGGACAACGGATCATTTCTGTCTCTTCTCACAATTCTTTTAAAAAACAGATTAACAGTAACACTGAGGAGCTACTCGTCTCATATAAGAATTTGTCTTTTGGGCTTCACAGCAGTTGTCATTTTTGGTTGTTCGTGTCACAAAACCTTTTAATAAAGCTTCTAGTTGAGGTTTTTAAGCTTTTAACTGAGCTTTTGGGAAATTCTGAACAATTACTTATTGTTTTAGGCACCATTCACAATTGTCTGACTTGCATGTACCCCACAACACTGCCCTCTCTGTGAATGCAGCTTTCAGCCTATTTCGAGCCTCTGCCTATGGACCAGTCTGCAGGCAGTTAAAGAATTTAGTTCTTTAGACTATCCATCTCAATTTTTATGGCATTTTTTGAGATATTTACCCCTCAGCACAGAACATAATGAGTGTTTTGAGGTTCTTCTATTCCGTTTTTATAACCCAAAAGACAAAACGTTTTCCTTAAACAGATGCTGAGAACGGTGTAATGCTTTCTTCTTCCAAACAATAAAGTTAAATCATATTACATGATCCTCATAAAGTGCCTTAAATGCTCAGCAGGTATTTAATTGGAAAGAGAAAAACAGCAAGTGAAGGTGATACTGAGTGCTAAAAGAAAAAATGAGCCAAGCACTATATTCATGCTCCACTTCCAGATAATAATATTTTTTTCCCCTGTTCTTTGGACTCAGCATTGCTGCCTTCTCTGCTTTACTTCTATTTCCGATTTCGCCACTTCCGCGTTTCCAAGTTCTTCAGCAATTTTAAGTGGGTTTCAGAGCATTTGGGCCATCCAAACGTGGCACACAAATCCTAGCAAAATACTGGAGATTCTGCAAGGGAATGTTGAGTTCCTTCGTTTTATAAGGCACGTGAAATCCAGAACTGAGATGGTACTACCAACGTTTAGATACACACACACTTCTACTTTCACACATGGCAAGCAAGCACATGGTTTCAAGGCATTAATGGATGACAGAGGGGAAACCTATGGGGCTTGAATTATTCCTTTCTTTTCTTCAAAGGACTTGTTTGCAAACAGTCTGTTAAAAATTGCAAGTATTTCTTTGAAAGAAGAAAGTAAGAAAACATTCCACCGTGTTAAAAATTGCAAGTATTTCTTTGAAAGAAGGAAGTAAGAAAACATTCCACTGTGCCCCCCATGTCATCTGAGAGCACGGTAGGACCTTACCCGAACCCTTCAAGAGAGGTGTCAAACTCAATGAATGCTGGTGTGACCGATGATCCGTGAAGCCTGATATCATGTGGCGTTGTCATGGAGACCAGACACTTCACTCTCGTCAGGGGTACTGTGCTCCCTTCTGCTGGCTTGAGCAGGCTCTTGCTTATCCGGTAGTGGCTGTCTTCGTGCGAAGCGAAGACGCTGTCAGAACCCAGACCTTCCATGGAGGTAACCATGCTATCTAAAGTAGAAGCCAAGAAACAACACAGCGTTGCAAAAGGGTGGCATTTTCAGGCTACTTATTTGGACTTTTCACAGAATCTTTATGGTTGGAATTGACCTTTGAGATCATCGAGTCCAACCACAAAAAAACGCAGACCCAACCCAACAGTCTCCAAACCCCCAAAAAACCCAACCCACAGATGGAGTCCAACCATATGCACACAAAAGATCCCCAACCCAACAATCTCGGGCACTAGAGCATGCCCTGAAGTGCCACAGCTACACCTTTCTTCAATACCTCCAGGGATGGTGACTCCACCACCTCCCTGGGCAGGCCCTTCCAGGGCCTGACCACCCTCTCAGCAAAGTCATTCTTCCCAAGATCTCATCTAAACCTCCCCTGCCCCAACTTCAGACCATTTCCTCTGCTCCTCTCATGATTCCCTTGGGAGAAGAGGCCAACCCCCACCTCTCTCCACCCTCCTGTCAGGGAGCTGGAGAGGGCAAGGAGGTCTCCCCTCAGCCTCCTCTTCTCCAAACTCAACATGCCCACTTCCCTCAGCCTCTCCTTGTAGGACTCATTCTCAAATGTTCTCAATGCTTTCAATGCATTAGCTGAACTGTCAATCATCATCAGCTACTCCAGCCTCTCAGTTTGAAGATCATGAGTTGGGAAGTGTTGCTGTCATTATAAAAACACTCAACTGAGGCAGAGAGATGAGCACCTTGTGCAAGGTATTACAGAAAGCCTGTGATAGAGACAAAAAATTGAGCCAGGAGGCCATCCCATTACATCACATTGGGCAATGTCCCTTTCACAGAGGCTGTTTCGGGCACGTTCCTGCTCCCTGACTTAACAGGAAAAACTCTGCTTCATGTTTTTCAGATGCAGGATCTCTGAGCTAAAAGCTTCAGAGCTCTCAATAAGCACAAAAGGTCAGGAAGCTTCGCTTAGGAAATTTAACGTAACTTGGGGTATTCAGAAGCTAGCTTTGTCTTCTCTCCTCTTTCCTCGGTTAAAAACTTTTCAGACCCACAATTTCACACTTCCCCCTGAGATAATACCCTAGTGAAAATGATAAACAAAAGAAAGCACTGGCCAAGAGACAAGCTGAATCTCACCTTCTCTCCTCATTTTAAAATGTACTCAACCTGACATAACAGGAATTCAGTTATTTTATTTTGTTTATTTATTTCCTTATTTAATGCTTGTAATTCAGTACCATCCAGGATAATTTTTTGGTTCCTTTTACATAATTCAAACATTTCATCTAAGGTATTTTAAACTATGTGCAATGACTGAGTTGACACAAAGAAAGAAATACCATGTGCTTTGAAAACTTACCAGTAATTTCTTTGTATTACCATTTACTGAGACTCTCCTACACTATGTGAACAGCTATTCCCAAGCTCTACAACTAAGATAATAATAGGAAGAAAGAGAATTTGGAAGAGAAGTTCAGATCAGCTGGAGGAATCCACTGGTTACAGACATCAGTACAGTTTATCAGAAAATCAGAGCTGATGTGTAATTGCTGACAGACTCTGAAGTATTCTATCCGATGGATGAACTTCCATGACAGGATACCACAAAAACTTACAATGAAAATTTCCACAGCCTATCTATAATCTAGGAATATTTAGGTAATACATCGTGAATACCTTCCCAGTGTTAATTCTGTTCCCCCTTCCCTTTTTTTTTTTTAAAGCTGTCCCTTTTCTTGAAAATTTTTCAACTTATGATCATAATTCAACGCATGCTTACCACATAGTATTAAAAATTTCAATTTTAATATACTAGGAAATTAAACATATTAAAAGCAAGCAACGACTAAAACTATTGATGAAAAACCAACAAATGGTTAATAAGGGACTGTTGAACTTTGAGAGTGGGTGTTTCAACTCCAATTTTGACCTCTTATAAAGAGGAATTACTACTAGATTGAGATTCTGCTAGATGAGGTAAATGAAACCAACAAATGGTTAATAAGGGACTGTTGAACTTTGAGAGGGGGTGTTTCAACTCCAACTTTGACCTCTTTATAAGAGGAATTATTATTAGATTGAGATTCTGCTAGATGAGGTAAACGGTGCTTTATTTCTTTTTAACCCTATTTCTTTCTCATCAATAGTGATGTTAACGATGAGCCAGGCTCAAGTTGAAATAAACAGAACTATGCTTAAGTGTAGGAATTTCAGTTATTTTATCTGACACCTTACTGAAGGAGACATTACATGGGTTTAATGATGTGATGTGCCCACGAAAGTATCTGAAAAAAACAGTATTCCTTTGACTGTTAAGTAACTACAAACTCAGGATCTACTCAAGACTTAAAATCAAACTACCATCATATTTACTAGTTACTGTTCCCAAGACAAAAAAATTATAATTACCTCTCTGGCTATATATTAAATACAATATTAAATACTGCTTTTAAAGCTTTTTCCAATCAAATTGTTCTGATGATTTCACATTCATACTAAGCTGGGGTGAAGTCAGGTTTTTCCAGATGCTTATCTACAAATATTACATAAGTATGCAACCGGGGGAGGTCGGTGTAGCATTCTTTACACAAATTTCTAGCACTTCAGCACCTACTTCTCATTTCTGGCTCAAAGCTCAGCGAGCTGGGTTTGTGCACTCGATATTGTTTCAACAGCTTTTTGTCCCAGGCTCCACAATTCAAAGGATTTCCCAAGCGTAAAAATTCCCTAAGAAAGAGAATAAAAAAATTTACAAATCATTTTGTCTATTTATTTGCCTAGAATGACAGCAAATCTAACACCATTTTTGAAGAAGACAGTAATTACTTGTAATAAATATAAATTTAACTAAGAAAATAAATTAACTCATGCATAATTACAAGAAACACATTTGATCAATTTGAAAATACTTCAGTTTTGAACACATGCTCTCAAAAGTTGACATTATTTTAACTAATCAAGCAATTCTGAATATTCCAAAGACTCGGCAGGAGGGTGCCTCATCCTGTAGGAGGACGTCAAGGTGCTCACAGCAAGCTGAACTCATCTGGAAAGGCAGCCCACAGCCTGAAGAGACCTCAGCTTTGTTTTATCCGTGTTTATTTGGCAGGTGGGACAATGTTTATCTCGGGGGGGGACACACGGGACAATGCAAGGTCACTTATGCTCTCTACCAATCTGAATTTTCACTGAATTTCACTGAATTTTTAGAGTTGGAAGGGACCATAGAGATCATCTAGTCCAACTCCCCTGCTGAAGCAGGATTGCCCAGAGCTTGTCAGAGCATGTTACTCAGGAGCATCCAGGCGGGGCTTGAAAATCTCCAGAGAAGGGGACTCCACACCCTCCCTGGGCAGCCTCTGCCAGGGCTCTGCCACCCTCACCGTGAAGAAGTTTCTCCTCATATTTGAGTGGAACCTCTTATGTTCCAACTTGTGCCCGTTGCCCCTCGTCCTCTCACTGGGAACCACTGAAAAGAGTCTGGCTCCCTCCTCCTTCAACCTTCCCTTGAGATACTTGTCAGCATTGATAAGGTCTCCCCTCAGCCTTCTCTTCTCCAGGCTGAAGAGTCCGAGCTCTATCAGTCTCTTCTCATCAGGGAGATGCTCCAATCCCTCCATCATCTCTGTTGCCCTTCGCTGGACTCTTTCCAGCCGTTCCCTGTCCCTCTTGAACTGGGGAGCCCAGCACTGGAGGCAGGATTCCAGTTGTGGCCTCCCCAGTGCAGAGCAGAGGGGGAGAATGACTTCCCTTGACCTGCTGGCCACACTCTTCCCTATGCAGCCCAGGATTCCGTTGGCCTTCCTGGCCACAAGGGCCCATTGCTGGCTCATTGTCATTTTGCTGTCCACCAGGACCCCTAGATCTTTCTCTTCAGAAGTTGTCTCCAGCAGGTCTACCCCTAACCTGTATTGGTGCTTGACATTTTTCTTCCCCAGGTGCAGGACCCTACACGTTTCCCTGTTGAACCTCATGAGGTTCTTCCTTGCCCAGCCCTCCAGCCTCTCCAAGTCTCGTTGGATGGCAGCACAGCCCTCCGGGGCTCCTGGCTCCTCCCAGCCATCTAGAGCCAGCCAGCAACCAGCCCTAGGCAGCAGCTCAACTGGACTTCACTGCTGTGGTTTCTCACCTCAACACCATGGGCTGCAGTGCCTGGGAAGCCAGCCTTTCAAACATCCTTTGGAGAGGGGGATGCAGCGAGTGGTCCTCATCAGCCAGAGCAGCGCTGCACCTTTGCAGGAGTCGTGCGTGGAGCCCGGCTTCACACATGACTTGCTGGTTTCTCTCTGTGTGCACCAGGGATTGGAGGATGTTGGCCACTGCCAGCTGGAGAGCCAGAGCGTGCTGAGGGAGAGAAGAGCACACAACCTGAGAAGATGCAAACTGACACAGCAAATAAAAGACAGCCCTTATGCACGATAATGAAAAGGAAACTACTGTTACCAATGAATAAACAAAACATCCTATACTTAAATATACGTGCATGTGTGTGTCCAGGGCGTGTGCACACATGAGTGTGAAGAGGCACTTCCACCTCTTTATGAAAAAGCATAAGAAGTTCTATGAAGGATTACCGTGACCAATTCAGGTAGGGATTCAGGATTACCTGAAACTGAATTTCACTGAATTTCTAGAGTTGGAAGGGACCATAGAGATCATCTAGTCCAACTCTCCTGCTGAAGCAGGATTGCCTAGAGCTTGTCAGAGCATGTTACTCAGGAGCATCCAGGCGGGGCTTGAAAATCTCCAAAGAAGGGGACTCCACACCCTCCCTGGGCAGCCTCTGCCAGGGCTCTGTCACCCTCACCGTGAAGAAGTTTCTCCTCATATTTGAGTGGAACCTCTTATGTTCCAACTTGTGCCCGTTGCCCCTCGTCCTCTCACTGGGAACCACTGAAAAGAGTCTGGCTCCCTCCTCCTTCAACCCTCCCTTGAGATACTTGTAGGCGTTGATAAGGTCTCCCCTCAGCCTTCTCTTCTCCAGACTAAAGAGTCCCAGCTCTCTCAGTCTCTCCTCATAAGGGAGATGCTCCAATCCTTGAATCATCTTGAAACAATTCAGGTAGGGATGGTTAAACAAAACTCTCCTTTTCAGCAGCAGAAGTGAGTCTGTTCACAAGTTCTATGTGCTTACAGTGTACTAAGAACTTTTTATTTTTGTGATGTTAAGGTCTTGAAACAATTCAGGTAGGGATGGTTAAACAAAACTCTCCTTTTCAGCAGCAGAAGTGAGTCAGTTCACAAGTTCTTAGTACACTCTAAGCACATAGAACTTTTTATTTTTGTGATGTTAAGCTATTCCTAGTAACTTAGCATGGAATCATGTAGGTTGGAAAAGACCTTTAAGATCATTGAGCCCAACCATTAACCCAGCACTGCCAAGTCCTTCACACGTCTAAGTGCCACAGGTCTTTAAATCCCTCCAGGGATGGCGACTCAGCCACTTCCCCAGGCAGCCTGTTCTGATACTTGATAACCCTTTCAGTGATAAATTTTTTCCTACTATCCAATCCAAATCTCCCTTGACGCAACTTGAGGTCACTTCCTCTTGTCCTATCGCCTGTTACTTGGGAAAAGAGACCAACACCCACCTGGCTACAACCTCCTTTCAGTTAAGTGTAGAGTGATAAGGTCTCCCCTCAACCTCCTCTTCTCCAGGCTAAACAACCCCTGTTCCCCCAGCAGCTCCTTGTAGGACTTGTTCTCCAGACCCCTCCCCAGCTTGGTGGCTCTCCTCTGGACACGCTTCCAACAATCTCAGGCACTAGAGCATGCCCTCAAGTGCCACAGCTACACCTTTCTTCAATACCTCCAGGGATGGTGACTCCACCACCTCCCTGGGCAGGCCCTTCCAGGGCCTGAACACCCTCTCAGCAAAGTCATTCTTCCCAAGATCTCATCTAAACCTCCCCTGCCCCAACTTCAGACCATTTCCTCTGCTCCTCTCATGATTCCCTTGGGAGAAGAGGCCAACCCCCACCTCTCTACACCCTCCTGTCAGGGAGCTGGAGAGGGCAAGGAGGTCTCCCCTCAGCCTCCTCTTCTCCAAACTCAACATGCCCACTTCCCTCAGCCTCTCCTTGTAGGACTTGTTCTCCAGACCCCTCCCCAGCTTGGTGGCTCTCCTCTGGACACGCTCCAGCCCCTCAATGTCCTTCTTGTGGTGAGGGGCCCAGAACTGAACCCAGCCCTCGAGGGGAGGCCTCACCAGTGCCCAGTCCAGAGGCACCATCACTGCCCTGCTCCTGCTGGCCACGCTGCTCCTGACACAGGCCAGGATGCTGGTGGCCTTCTTGGCCACCTGGGCACACTGCTGGCTCCTGTTCAGCCGGTGTCCACCAACACCCCCAGGGCCTTTTCTGCCAGGCAGCTCCAGCCACTCTGCCCCCAGCCTGTAGCACTGCAGGGGGCTGGTGGGACCCAAGGGCAGGACCCGGCACTTGGCCTTGTTGAAACTCATCCCATTGGCCTTGGCCATCGATCCAGCCTGTCCAGATCCCTCTGGAGAGTGTTCCTACCCTCCAGCAGGTCGACGCTCCCACCCAACTTGGCGTCATCTGCAAACTCACTGAGTTTGTATCACTCATAAAGATATTAAACAGAACTGGCCCCAGTACTGAGTCCTGGGGGACACCACTTGTCACCGGCCACCAACTGGATTTCACTCCATTCACCACAACTCTTTGGGGCTGGCCATCCAGCCAGGTTTTTACCCAGCAAAGAGCACACTCGTCCAAGCCATGAGCAGCCAGGTTCTCTAGCAGAATGCTGTGGGAAACACTGCCAAAGACTTTACCAAAGTCCAGGCAAACCACATCCACAGCCTTTTTCTCATCCTCTAAGTGGGTCACACTCTCATAGAAGGAGATCAGCTGAGTAAAGTAGGACCCACCTTTCATAAACCTGTGCTGACTGGGCCCTGATCACCTGGTTGTCCTGTATGTGCTGTGGGATGGTGCTCAAAATATCTGCTCCATAACCTTCCCTGGCCCCGAGGTCAGACTGACAGGCCTGTGGTACCCACCTTCCCTGGCACCGAGGTCAGACTGACAGACCTGTGGTACCTCAGATCCTCCTTCCTGTCCTACTTGTAGACAGGCATCCCATTTGATAACCTCCAGTCAACTGGGACATCCCCAGTTAGCCAGAACTTCTGAAAAATGATGGAAAGGGGCTTGGTGAGGACTTGCACCAGCTCCATCAGTCAGTACCCTCTGGTGGATCTCATCTGGTCCCATAAACTTGTGTCTAAGTGATATGTATAGCAGGTTGCTAACCATTCCCCCTTGGATTATCAAGGCTTCATTCCTCTCCCCATCATTGTCATCTCTACAAAACTTAGGATATATGCAACATAACTGCCAAATTAATGGCTTGAAGACAGAAAGTCACCACTACTCATCACTGGTAGAGGACGAAAAAGGAGGAATCAAGTCTAGTGACTCCTGTAAGCTTTTGGAACTTTTAAAAAGAAAATAAACAGCATTCTTCAGTGAAGACAACAAAAAATACTTAGGCAACATAAAAAATTGTCCAACAAATTCTTTATATACAAACCATCAGTACAAATTTTGGGTTGGGAATTGTACAAAGTAGGTGGTACAATTTTGCAACTAGAACATATTTCAAACAGCACATACACACCAAGCTATAATGTCCAACTAAATGTCCTCCTTGTTCTCCTTGTTCTAAGCATTAACAACTATCAACAAGCATTAACAAACATCAAGGAAAACAGGAATTAATCACAGTGCTTGGACACTTATCTGATGGCCACTTCAGACTTTTCTTTAAATTTACCTTTTTGCCAGGAGTTTAGAAGAGACAAACAAAACAAAGCCTACGAAATAAAACCATGTCTATCAGCCCTCTGTGCCACCAGTTATTCAACTTAACTAGTCTGTGAAATGTATTAGTTTCTCAGCACAAAACAAGAGGACATCATAGTTTTTCCCCGTTTCCCACAGCCATCCTTTTTCCCAGTCACTCTAGGACAGGGTATTAGTTTCTCAGCACAAAACAAGAGGACATCATAGTTTTTCCCATTTCCCACAGCCATCCTTTTTCCCCAGTCACTTTAGACAGCAGAATATTTTTCCCTACCTCTGGGTGTGTAGCTGATCCAACAGAGGCCAGAAGATCCAGCATGGCAAGCATAGCACCAGGGTGGATAATGACCGCATCAGAGCTTTGTGCAGATGTGGGGCCTGTTTGGAGTTTCACATCAGCTATGGTTTTCTGAGGGCAAACAGGAGGTGTTGAAACAGAGTGATATGCGTGCCTGTGGGACAGAAGACATCCCATGGTTACAACATCCATTTCTTATGAGCTTTGCATTTTTCAAACAGCTGCAAAGTTGAACTGGCTTAGAGATGCTACTCCCCTCCTCCTCTCTCCTCCCTCAGTTAGACAGATCAACCATCTGAGTGTTGGACAAACCCGTTGGACATGTTCCCCCAAAGACAACCTGGAAGAGTTGCAATATTTCAACTATGCTTGAACTCAGAAGTCTTTTCCCCAGATGCTACGTAGTTTGAAGAACTTAAAGTTCTTCAAAGATCTTAACTTGCCTTTCTTGCCTCCCTCTTCCCATTCTAGCTGCGGTGGCAGCACACGGTGACGACAGCCACCACTGCTCCTGTTCTGGGGGGTGAATCCAGCTTTGGATACGTTTCTCCCCATTTGCTTTTCAGTAACAACTGATTAGAAAACGTCCTATCGCAAAACTCTCGGAAATCTCTAATTATCCTACAGAAACAGAAAGCTGGGCTTGGTGAACACTCGTGCCAGCAGTTCCATATGTTCTCAGTCTATGGCAATTCAGTTTTGCATTAAGCTGCTTTAAATCTGATTCAGGGAAAAGAGGCTTTGACACACTGACTTAGAAGCAACCACTTGTACTGAAACTCTCCGAGGTATCAGCTTGATGCCATTCTTCTTCCAGCACAAGAACACTGACTTAGAAGCAACCACTTGTACTGAGAGCTGTAGATGCATTCCCATTGAAACTCTCAGAGGTATCAGCTTGATGCCATTCATCTTCCAGCACAAGGTTCAACACACAAACAGCATGAACAGCTGACTGAAGATCAAGATGGTACTTCTGAAGCAAAAGCTAGCTCCAAAGGCTCAACACAAAAAGAAAAAACAAAACAAACCACAACTAAACCCACCCAAATTCTGACAGTATTTATCATATACGCTTATTTGCAAGAAGAAAGAGAACAAACTCTATGTAAGAAATTTTTTTTTGAAGACCAAATATTGCCTGGCGTTTTACAAGAAGTGAACTCAATTAAAATCGGGTCTCTTCCTATCAAATGAGTTGATAGAGGCATTTCCTC